CTTGGCAATGGGAAGTCACTGGCGAATATTAAGAGGGGGAGTCACATGGCAAAGAGCAGCTGTGGAAAGGAGGGTAGTATCTGTAGTGCATGGCACCTTAATATGTATTTTGCGATGACCGCATCCATCCAATTGGATCTGCCATACTGCAGCACAAACACTTCGCCCCTAAATTGCTGCATTGCTTGCTTTTTTATCTTCCTTTGGGGTTCTGTCAGTTGTGTCTTCAGCAGTAAGGCCCTCCCTAAAGATCCTGTTTGAAGAAGCACCCATGTCTCCTTCTGTGCATTTCCTGTTTCCCTTTCTTACATTATTTTTGATGCATTGAACTTGTCAGATTCCAATATGCTCTATAATTTCCCTGCCTTCTGTGTGTATGCTTTTCCTCTTCCTCCATTAGACTATAAGCTCCCTGAGGCAAGGGACTGAGGTCTGTTTGGTTCATGGTTGTGTGCCCAGGGTAAGAAGTCTGGCACATAGTAGACACTTGATAAATATTTGTTGAATGAATATTGAGTAAAGATTTGTAGGGCCTTTTTGGAGAATAGTTAAGAATTAAGAACAGTGTAGGCCTAACATCCCTGATGAATTTCTCACAGGGCAGGCCATCTGAGGTTGTAGCTGCCAAGCAGTTTGCTAGACCTGCAAGGACAAATGGGCTCCCTCACCTTTGGTTGGATTCTAAGTACAGTATATTTAAAAATAAAGTAGAGTCCCTTTCACATATCAGATAATATAACCAACTCAACAATGTTGTTGAATTATGGAATACTTCTTAAAGTTGAAAGCACCATGGATTTAAATATTTACATACGTTAAGTTGTTAAAAATGCAGTGAATCTCTATGATTTATTAAATGGAAAAAAATTACAAATGAAAGTTATAGTATAACCTTATTATATTAAAAAACATGCATGTTATACACATAGAAAATTTCTGCAGTGTAACATAGAAATCCACTAATACTGATTATATCTTAGCAGTGGTACTAAGAAGGTGATAAGGATGACTTTTTCTTTTATGCTGTTCTATGTGAAGTGGATAGTTTATCATAAATATGTACAAAGCATCTCATGTAAAATTCAGGTCATAAAAATCATGGGCACAGATATTAACAAACTTCCATAGTACTTGTCAAGTCATACTTCTAGTTTATACACATACCTAATCACACAGGCACCCTCCTTGGGAGTTCTGAGCATAGAGGTAAGGGAGGCCCAGGGAGAGGTCACCTGGGAAAGGCGAGGCTCTGTTACAGTCCTAAGGGAAGGCACAGAGATGTTCTTTGATTTCTTTCTTGTGACATTTCTGTTTAGAAGATGCAATTTTTGATCACCTCAAGTATTACCTCATCAGGTTTGGTAGTTCTTGATAATGCCCTCTAAGATAGAACAGATACTTATCTGCCTTTCTTTTCTTGTTCAGTTTGTCTTTGATATCTTGTGAGATTTCAGGATTTTTCTATTAGTAATTACAGCCATTTCAAGAACACTTTTCGAATGTCATAGTGTCTGCTAAGAGTATAGGACATTCTAGCAAAATGAAAAATACATATCGCAAGAGAAGCCCAAGCTTGGTGTTTGCATTGAACAGTATGGAGGATAATAGTACATTTTCTTTATAAATCAGGGAAAGCAGCTTAGAGGAAATGATAACATGGAATTTGGGGGCTTCTGTATTTGTCATTTTTTAAAAACGTTATTTTGCTAGGCAGGAAACAAAAATGACTTCACTTGGACAAAACACTTCTTAAAGCTTTATGTTCTCCTTTTTTTCTTCTGAAACCAAAGACCAAGTGGAATGAATATTTAATTGTTCATTTGGCAAACAAACATTTTTAAAGTGCTGTTATTAACCAGGGACTGTGCTTAAGAGCTGAGATAAAAAAACAAACTTCTCTTTTGCTCTCTGGTCTAGTGGGAGTGACTGATAGATACATACACAGAACAAGAATGGCTGATTTATATGTGACACCATGGCAGTGATTAATTTCATCTGGAGAAATCAGAACACAATAGTAGATGCAGCAGCAAACATTTGTTGAGTATTATGTGACATGTACCTTGAAATCAGTTTCTTCTCAGCACAAAAACTCTTTCACTGAGAATGTTCCTATATTGACTAATGAAATTATACCCATACCCCATGGGATTTGTCCTGTTATCCCCATTTTATAGGTAGGAAGCTCATTCAAGGTCACATAGCTGGTATATGGCTAAGCATGGCAAGAGATTCCAGAGCCTTAACCATCACGCTATCCTGCTGCCTTTCTTTCATGGGGGGGAGTTCAGATGGAGAGCAGAATGGGAGAAGGGCTTTCCAGTAAGTAGTTGGAGATGGAGGTCTGATTCTCAGGTGAAAGGAACTGTTGAAACTGGTAATTTCAGGTCACTGTTGATCCCATATTTGCCATATTAATGGCGATGATTCTTTGAAGAAACCTTCATGTGTTGGGAAGAAGAAAGATGCAGAAATTGGTACAAGGCTTAGGTATAATTTTACAGTGGGAAAGGACTTAAGCATATTTAGAGGCTGAGGAGAGGAAACCAACCAAAAAGAGGCTGAAGACATAAGAAGGGCTTGGCTCTATGGACATTGTGCAGAACGAATGGGATACAGGCCTTGCTGGGGCTGTGGGTCTTGGGTAGGAAGAAGTCTCTCTCCTGAGTAAGAGAGGGGAGAATGGTGGGGAAATGGGAAATATGATTCAGTGTAGGGTTGAGAGGCTGGTAGCTGAGCGTATCTCTAGCTAGTGGTCTCTGATTTTTCTGTGCCTGCTGAGTGAGAAAAGAGAGCAGGATGGGCGATGACTGTGAGATGGCTCTGGGGAGTGGCAGAGGAAAAACTAGAATTGCTTGGTGGCTTTGCACAGTTGTGCCATGTTCTCCAGAATTGAATTACCTTTGTGTAGAATTAGAGATGGTGCCTGGTTGGGTTGACCACAGGCTGATTATGTTCTTTAAAAAAAAAAAAATTTATATATGGGACTAATAGGATAGTGTAAGTGGGAGATAAGGAAGCAGTACAATTTAACTGCAGGCAATAGTTAGATGATTTACCAGTGTTACCTTCACTATATGTATAGTTTGAAACTAATTTCTGGAGTAGTATGTGGACTGCCTCATAGTGTTTAATAAGAGATAGCAAGTTTTAGAACCAGCATCTTCTGTATATGCATTTATAATGTGAATCCTGAAGCTACAAATAATGAGGAAGAATATATTTGAAATGTGTCATGTATTTCAACTTAGTATGGTAGATGGACATAGGAAAAATGATAGTGAACCAAGAAGTTTTTGTGTTGAGAGGAAATTGATGATAAATCTAAGGAGAGAGAGTGTCTTAGTTGTCTTTTTATTCATATGCAGTTGACCCTTGAAAACATGGGATTAAGGGTCCTGACCTCTGCACAAAGTCCATTGATAACTTTGACTCCCCTAAAACTTAATTACTAATAGCTTACTGTTGTCCGGAAGGAAGCCTTGCTGACAAAATAAACAGTTGATTAATACATACTTTGTATGTCATATGTATTATATACTGTATTCTTAACAATAAAGTAAGTTAAAGGAAGGAAAATGTTTTTTCAAATGGTCACAAAAACGTTTCAATATATTTATTGAAAAAAATCTGATTATAAGTGGACCCATGCTATGTTTTTCAAGGGTCCCCTTTATGTAGAAACCTGGCTTAGGCTATCTCTCCAAACAAGAAAGATGGAATTCCTTTTTTACAAAGGATTACTACCTGCTGACTTAATTGGAAAAAAACTTTTTTTTTCCATTGTGGAAGATTGTTTTAGAGCTGGAAATTCACTATTTTTTTGTCATTAATTTCTGCCAGTGTTTTGAGTTTTCATTGTACTTTTGGGCAAATACGTTCACTACTTTCTAGATAAAATTTGAGATAACCTTTTCTTGATACCTTCTGATTATTGCACCAAATAAACTTCTATTATTGTGTTTTTGTATTTTAGTGCCTGGAATTTCTTTGAAGTGTTAGGTCTTAACAAATTCTTATAAATTAAAACACAGAGCTTAGTAATATCGTATATATTAGGTTTCGTGAATTTATATGACATCCATGATTCTCTCCTTTCTTCCTTTTTTTATTAACATGCTCTTTAAGCTGAAGTATGAAATTTCCTCCTGTCTCTCATTCTGTACAGGTGCACCACCCATGGTAGATATTTAGAGAAGAGCTCAGGCCAGGTGTTGCTACTAGCTTTGCTAAAGGAGGAGACTGTAACTTCCTGGGGATATTATTTCTGTTCATTTCAAGTTTCAGATTTAACCACAGTTTTTGTAAGGCAGTGCTATTGAACTGATAGTTTTTAAAAGTCATAGTCTTTTTCAAGTGTTTAGTTAGACTTTTAAGTGCTGATATATACATATATTTAAAGTTCTCATTTATTGAGTTTCTACGACGTGTTTGGCTGTGTGCTAAATGAACCACTTTACTGAGTCCTAACAGTACCTACAGTACCCCTTCAGGGTGCTGAGGGTGTCTTCCTCCTTAAGGATGAAGAAACTGAGTAATGGAAAGGTTCAGTCATTTGTCCAAAGTCATTCATATAGAGGCCTGTCTCAAAGCATTCACATTTATCTTTTTAATTATAATTTTATCCTTTTCTATTTCTGTAGTTATGAAGAACAGTATATAATACCTGTGTTCAGTGGTAGTAGCAAAACATTGTAAGATAGTATATTATTTATCAAACCGTAACAAAGATATAATTACTTTGTTGCCTGATTTCCTTAACTATGTGTGTTAAGTAGTCTTCAACTGTGTAGGTTTCATTTGGCAGAGAAAATCAACTTCCTTTCTAAGAGGTGGAGATAGAAAAGCAAGAATCGGGATTGACTTTTGAAAAAATATTAGGGACTTTTGGATGTTCCAATAGTAAGAGACTGGTAAAAAAAAATCAAGACTTCATATGTGCATGATCTCTTGACTCTAAATACTTTCCAGCTTGAAAACCTTATACTTCTCTCGTGTAGAGCTCCCAGTATGTGCAGTGTGTTGCCGGGTGTCTGCAGCTGATGCTTCGGGTCAGTGAGTACCGCTTTGCTTGGGTAGAAGCAGATGGGGTAAACTGGTGAGTGTCCTACTTTTTTTTTCTTTAGCAATAACGTTTTTTTTTATTAAGTTATCATTGATACACAATCTTACAAAGGTTTCACATGAGCAACATTGTGGTTACTACATTCCCCCCTATTATCAAGTCCCTACCACATACCCCATTATGTCTATCATAATAGTTACTGTCTATCAGTGTAGTAGGATGCTATAAAGTCACTACTTGTCTTCTCTGTGCTATACTGCCTTCTCCATGCCCCCCCCCATATTATGTACGCTAATCATAATGCCCCTTAATCCACCTCTCCCTCCTTCCCCACCCACCTTTCCCAACCCCTTTCCCTTTGGTAACCGCTAGTCCATTCTTGGGTTCTGTGAGTCTACTGCTATTTTGTTCCTTCAGTTTTTGCTTTGTTGTTATACTCCACAAATGAGGGAAATCATTTGGTACTTGTCTTTCTCCACCTGGCTTATTTCACTGAGCATAATACCCTCTAGCTCCATCCATGTTGCTACAAATGGTAGGATTTATTTTCTTCTTATGGCTGAATAATATTGCATTGTGTATATGTACCATATCTTCTTTATCCATTCATTTAGGTTGCTTCCATGTCTTGGCTGTTGTAAATAGTGCTACGATAAACATAGGGGTGCATATGTATTTTTTAATCTGTGAACTTGTTTTCTTCTGGTAAATTCCTAGGAGTGGAATTCCTGGGTCAAATGGTATTTCTGATTTTAGTTTTTTGAGGAACCTCCATATTGCTTTCCACAATGGTTGACCTAATTAACATTCCCACCAAGAGTGTAGGAGGATTCCACTTTCTCCGCATCCTTGCCAGCATTTGTTGTTGCTTGTTTTTTGGATATTGGCCATCCTAACTGGTGTGAGGTGATACCTCGTTGTGGTTTTAATTTGTATTTCCCTGACGGATAGTGATGTGGAGCATCTTTTCATGTGCTTGTTGGCCATCTGAATTTCTTCTTTGGGGAAGTGTCTGTTCAGATCCTCTGCCCATTTTTTAATCGGGTGTTGAGGTGTGTGAGAGCTCCTTATATATTTTGGATGTTAACCCCTTATTGGATATGTCATTTGTGAATATATTCTCCCACACTTTAGGATGCCTTTTTGTTCTATTGATGGTGTCCTTTACTACTGATGGTGTCCTAGTTTGATGTAGTCCCATTTGTTCATTTTTGCTTCTGTTTCCCTTGCCCAGGGAGATATGTTCATGAAGAAGTTGCTTATGTTTATGCTCAAGCAAGTTTTGCCAATGTTTTCTTCAAAGAGTTTTATGATTTCAGACTTACATTCAGGTCTTTGATCCATTTCAAGTTTACTTTTGTGAATGGAGTTAGACAATAATCCAGTTTCATTTTTTTACATGTAGCTGTCCAGTTCTTCCACCACCAGTTGTATATTAATTGACCATATATGTGTGGATTTATATCTAGACTTCCTATTCTATTTCATTGAACTATGGCTCTGTTCTTGTGCTAAATTGTACCTGATTGTCCTTACTGATTACTGTGGCTTTGTAGTAGAGCTTGAAGTTGGGGACCATAATCTCACCACTCCATTCTTCTTTCTAAGGATTGCTCTGGCTATTTGGAGTCTTTTGTGGTTCCATATGAATTTTAGAACTATTTGCTCTAGTTTGTTGAAGAAAGCTGTCAGTATTTTGATGGGGATTGCATTGAATCTGTGAATTGCTTTGGGCAGGATATCCATTTTGACAATACTTATTCTTCCTACACATGAGCACAGGATGTAATTCTATTTACTGGTGTCTTCTTTGATTTCTCTCAAGACTGTCTAATAGTTTTCAGGGTATAGGTCTTTCACTTGCTTTGTTAAGTTTATTCCTAGATATTTTATTCTTTTTGATGCAATTGTGAATGGAATTGTTTTCCTGATTTCTCTTTCTGCTAGTTCATTGTTAGTGTATAGAAATGCAACAGATTTCTGTTTATTAATTTTGTATCCTGCAACTTTGCTGAATTCAGATACTAGTTTCAGTAGTTTTGGAGTGGATTCTTTAGGGTTTTTTATGTACAATATCATGTCATCTGCAAATAGTGACAGTTTAACTTCTTTCTAGCCAATCTGGATGCCTTTTCTCTCTCTGTGTTGTCTGATTGCAGTGGCTAGGACCTCCAAAACTATGTTGAATGGAAGTGGGGAGAGTGGGTATCCTTGTTTTGTTCCTGATCTTAGAGTAAAAGCTTTCAGCTTTTCACTGTTAGTATGATGTTGGCTGTGGGTTTGTCATATATGAGCTTTATTATGTTGAAGTACTGGCCCTCTATTTCCATTTTGTTGGGAGTCTATCATGAATGGACGTTGAATTTGTCAAATGCTTTTTCAGCATGTATAGAGATGATCATGTGACTTTTGTCCTTGTGAGTGTCCTACTTTTAATGTAGAGTAACATTTAAAAGCATCTCTCCTTGATATTTTCTGAGAAATTAATATATTTAATCATACAAAAAAGTTGTTTTTTTTTTTAATGTCTGTCTGACAATGGATCATGCTAAACTTCATAAAAGTCAGTAACTACCCAGTGGAACATTTCCCCTTTCCCTTGCTTACTCTGCACTCTTGTAAGAGGTTAAGGACTCCTAAAAACCTGATGCTGCTTGTAGAACAAACTTCAGGTACTCAGAATAGAAAAATAGTCATAAAAGTATCTTGTGGTAAATGCAGGCAAAAACCAGTAAGAAAAGGTCTCCAGAAAAGAGTGAGTATAAGCCATTCTTTGTAAATACTATGCAATTAGCCGTCCTTTGTGGGGTTCTAATTTGCAGGCCCAGAAACTTTGAGGAGGTGCCTTCTCAGGTTTAACCAAGTGTACTTTATACAAACCCAAAAACCCCAAACAAAATGAAATACTCTCTTACTACCAGAAAGCCAAGTTACTTATTCATGAGGTGTCTCACTGCTCTTCAACCAAATATTCTTTTCAGTTAGTGAAGGCATTTTTTCTCTGTTGGAAAATCTATAGTGGAAGCTAGTTTATCAACAGAAGGTTGCTTGGTGAGCAAGGCTTCAGAGTAAGAAGTTTTCACTTAGTAATCTTGATGCTGTTACCAAATTCTAATAGGTTGATGCATCCATCTCCAGTTAGAGATATACTTGCCAAAGGGACCCTTCCTAGAGCGTTTCAATCAACATTCACATGCAGTTTCTTGGGGTGGGTTACTTCTGCGATCAGTTGTTCTTAGGAATTGCATTTGAACTGTCATGACCATTAACTCAGTAAACCAGTAATTTCATATTAGTATGCAAAATTTCAATCTATGGTTGTTTAACCCTCAGTATGTCAGAAAATGTAGTCCTTACAATTTGCCATCTGGACCCTTTGTAAAATATATATTTAGTCATTTATGAATAATTAATAGAACTCAAGTAGAATAAAAGATCATTAGAAATTCTAATAAGAATTTTTACTGAGTAAACCTTTTCGTAGTAAGTGAATTTTGGTGCACAAACATCATAAAAGGTGAAAGAAAACTATCACGTGTCCTTTTAGCAAAATGGAGTGGTTCAGGTTCTTTTTGCAAAATAATTGTGTTGAAGTCTTTCACATTGAATGGCTAGCTAGGTGAGAATACCAAATTTCCTTTTTGTCCCTAGAAAAAATGTATTGTTCACTCATTAATTCTTGAGAAAATCCATTTACAATATAGTCATCTGAAGACTCACAGTTGAAGATTTCTCTTATGTGACCAATTGCAACATCATTATGAGAGAATAAAATGCTCTCTCTTTGCTTTTAACTTGTGTTTTATCTAATAATTGTGAAATGCCTTCCGCAGGTAATTGCCATTATGAGCAGAAAATAAATCCTGAATGCTCAGCTGTGTTCACATTGTGTCAGAAAACTCAGCAGAAGGCCTCAGGGGACTCAGCATGTAGTTGTTCTCGTGGCTGAGATTTATTACAGAGACAGAGTAGGGATACACAGCTAGATGACTAGGGCCAAAGACAGGCTGAGTCTGGAGGAGTCCATCTGAGGCTTCCTTATGTTCTGTGCCTCCCATGAGGGGTCACACAGCATCTTCTTCCCCCAGCAGCAAAAATGCAGTAACATCTATGTGAGGTTTCTGCCCAGGAAACCCACTAGAGATTCAGTACCTGCAATTTTCACTGGAGGTTTGTGAGGTAGGTATCTGCTGTCTAGCATGCAGCAAAATTCCAGACTCCAGAAGAAAAGCAGGTGTTCAGCATTTGTGCAGGTAGTTTAGGTACAGTGAGCCACCCTTGTCATTTAGGAAGAGTTTTTTATCAGTGTAGGGAACTGTATACTAGTCAAGTTCCCAGAAGCCACCCAAAGGTCAGCTTTGCAAGCAGATCTATTTAGGGATAGCAGTCACTAGACTACAGTGTTAATTGTTTTCTGTACAGGAACCTAAAGGTAGACTACAAAGATGGTGTTTCTGGTCTTTCATTTTATTTTAATTTTTTATTAAGGTATTATTGATATACATTCTTATGAAGGTTTCACATGAAAAAACAATATGGTTACTGTATTTACCCATATTATCAAGTCCCCACCCATACCCCAATGCAGTCACTGTCTTTCAGTGTAGTAAGATGCCACAGATTGGCTGTTTGCCTTCTCTGTGCTACACTGTTTTCCCCATGACCCTCCACACCATGTGTACTAAACTTAGTGCCCCTCAATCCCCTTCTCTCGCCCTCCCCACCTGCCCTCCCACACCCCTCCCCTTTGGTAACCACTAGTTCCTTCTTGGAGTCTCTGAGTCTGCTGCTATTTTGTTCCTTCAGTTTTGCTTTGTTGTTATACTCCACAAATGAGGGAAATCATTTGGCACTTGTCTTTCTCCTCCTGGCTTATTTCACTGACCATAATACCCTCCAGCTCCATCCATGTTGTTCCAAATGGTAGGATTTGTTTTTTTCTTATGGCTGAATAGTATTCCATTGTGTGTATGTACCACATCTTCTTTATGCATTCATCTACTGATGGACATTTAGGTTGCTTCCATATCTTGGCTATTGTAAAAAGTGCTGCGATTAACATAGGGGCGCATATGTCTTTTTGAATCTGAGAAGTTGTATTCTTTGGGTAAATTCCAAGGAGTGGGATTCTTTTTTAACTGTTTTAAAAAATGATGCACTAATTTGGGTAATACAGTAAGAGAGGATAATTACTTATTTCATTGTTATGTCATCTTCCGAGGTGATTCCATCATTCTCCAATTTTCTTTTATTTTTAGTCTTTAATTTTTTTATCATAGTTGGGAATAATGAATGAGTAATAATGAAATAATACCTAGGAAGATGAAATAGGGTAATTCTTCAAATTATAGGTAACATAAAACAACTGAGATCCCATAATATATCTTAGATTTACAAGTGGTCCAACAGACCTGTATGGTAATTGCAAAATAAGTTGAACTTCATTTCACTGAACAAAAAATAGGTTTCTTTTTGTTCTTTAGAAGACCTGTAAGACACAATAAAAGTCATGAGACAACAATTTCTACAAATAGTTACAACTGTTCAGAAAATAAATAGTAAAGTTTGGTGCAGTGGCTCCTAATTGTAAGCCAGAGTTAACCAAATGCTCTCATTCTAATTATTGGCACTTAGTGTGTGGGAGGACAGTAAGCCATGTTAACTATTCAGTTTAGCAACAAAAGCAGGGATAAATACAAGCTAGAATATTCCATGTTCAATCTGTATGTTTTGATATGCTAGTGACCACTAACGAGATAAACAGTAATCAAATAAGGAGAATTTTAGGTTGAGAACAGGCATTAATAAAGGTATATGTTAACTTGCTGATGGTATAGCAATTTAGAAGTTATTTAATTTCAAGTCTTTCAGAAATAAAATACATGCTTTTTTTGGTACTTTTTACTTTTCCCATTTGTTTAGGATTGAAAATTTTCTTTTTCTTTTTGGTATCCCTCAATTCACAAGCAGGAATCATGTGAGGAGAAAACATTTTCCAAGCATGGCCTGTTTGAAGAGAGTAAAAGAGAATTGATGTTTTAAAAACCCCAGAACATTATTACCCATACAATTTTCTTTCTTTCTTTTTTTAGTTAAAAAATCTATTATATGGATGAAACTACACTATTTTTGAGTATTTCTATACCTGTATAACATCAAACATATACTTTGCATTTGTCTTGCAGATTGTTAACCTCACTAGAATGTGTGAAGGTTAGCATTAATTTTTTTCAATACCAGAGCAAAAAAGGGGCCTTTGATGGGATAGTTGCTTCCACAAGTTCAGCTGCACTTAAGAACATTTATAACCCCCCATTTGAAGTATTTTGAAAGTGTTAAAGTACTATATCAATTAAAAGTAGGATTTTCTATAAATGTCAAAATATTTCATTTTTGTGACATTGTGTGATGAGGTGCTCAGTGCTCATGGGTTTGCAGAATGGCTGCTAGCCAAAAGTGTACAAGTCAAGTTAGTAAACTAGCTGTTTTATGCCCCTACTCTATGCATTGGCTTGGTTTTTTAAATAAAAACCTCAATTAAAAAAACAAAACAGCCAGTTATTTTGGCTGCATAGACCTTAGTCTTCTTTCTAATTTTGGATTTGACAATTATTTGTACTTTTTGAGCTCTCTGTGTAATGTTGTACATATATTATAGGAAATACAAAGAAACAAGGTAATTTTCTTTGAGAAATTCAGTCTAGTTGGAAAGTATTAGTACTTAACAAAGGTAGCATTTGGGATTCTAGAGCATTATTTAGTAACTTTTTCAATAAATTTAAAAAATAACGCAAACTCACCAATGTGAGAGGACTAGCAGAGATGAAAATGTAATAGCGCCCATTCTGTCTTCAGGCCTCACAGTTCAAGGGTCACTTCTCTGGAAATCCTTCCCTCCCACAGCACTAGACTTGAAGTTCCTTGAGAGCATGGACAGTGTCTGTTTCTACTCACTGTTATGTCCATGCCTTGCACTGTACCTGCCATACAGATCCTCAACAAGTATTTGTTAAGTTGCTCTATTTGGGTTTATCTTGTGTCTTCGTGTCCTTTGTATCCTGTATCCCCCTTAGCATTTTCTTTATGCTCTGCTCTGTTTTGAGTTAGAGTTCTTGCCTCTAAGGGAATCCCTTCCTTATTCTGATAAACAGGGACTTTATTTTGCTTCCTTAGGATGTTTCTTGAGGTTATAACTATTTGGATATAGAAGATTTATCTTTTCAATAGAATCATATATGTACTAGACAAATTTTAAACTCTTAAACTTCTCTGCAGTGTTCACCATTGCTGACCTCTCCTTCCTTTGAAATCTTTCTGTCTTGTTCTAATCAACACCACAGTGGCACTGAGCTCTCCTTAATCTCTCTGGTCATTTAAAGATTTTTATTTTAACAGGTAACTTAATATGAAGAAGTGTTACCTAGGTATAAATTTGTTAAGTAGATTTCTGAAAACCAACAAAAGGACTCTCAAGTTTCAGAGAGGTAATAAGAGCAGATACTACCCCTAAAGCTGGGAGCAAAGGTAATAAGAGGTTGGAATTGCTAAAATTTACCCACTTCAAAGAGGGGCTGTGTGAAGATGAAATTTGGGCCTTAGAAGGGGAGCTAGTATTGCTCCTTTAGGGTTTGTGTCCCTGAGCTCAGAGGGAAAGCTTCACAGCCAGACCAAACGACTGGTGCTGGTGTCTCTGGAGGGTGTACAGTGAGGCTGGTTCTGCTGGAGTGATTGCAGAGTAAATTTAGCTGCTGCCATGGGAAAGCAATTGCTGCCCATCTGAACAGATGTTGCTGAAATGATACAGGAAATGGAAGCTGGCGGGAGGAAGTCCCTTCTTCCATCCTTGCACTGAGCTGCTGACACCTCCCATTGGCAGAACCAGCTAGCAGTGCAGAAACGTGGTTTAAAGTCTCAGCCACAGCATCACGAGGCAAAGTACAGAGGGCTTACCTTAGCAACTGGATCAATCAGAGAGCAACAGGAAGCCAAGTGCTAGGGTATTAATAGTATAAAATTGCATGATTTTACAGCTGTAGAAATACTGACATCAGTACTAAATAAAAGCAAGGCTTACATAACAACCAGAAAGAGAAAAGATTGAGGGGAGAAGTCATGCATGAAAAAATTAAGCGCAGTTCAGCAAATTTATAACTATACAAATCACAAAAATGGAGTGATGGCACAAATATAAATCTTCCGTGAAGTTAGTAGTTATAGATCGCAAAATTAGATTTAAAAATTTATTTATATTAATAGACTATTATTTTTAGAGCAGTTTCAGGTTTACAGAAAACTTGAAAGTGCAGTGGGTTCCTGTGTGTACCTGTGCTCCCACAGTTGCCCTATGGCTTTCCCTGATACTGATACCTTGCATTAGTGTGGTGCATTTGTTTCAGTTGGTGAGCCAGTATTAATATCTTCTCATTAATTAAGGTCCATAGTTTACAGTAGGATTCACTCTTTGTCTTGTACAGTGTAGTTTTTGAGCTTCCCTTAACCCCTCTGGTCATTTTCTAATGTCCAATTTGATGGTCTCTGTCCTTTGTTGTTTGAATGTAGGCATTCCCTGGGGAAGGTTTCTCAGTGCTGTCCCTTGGTGTCAGCTCTTTCATTTCCATATAGTTTTCCCAGTAGCCTTTTCAGTAAAATGGGAGGTTGAAGTGGAAACTTGAGGTTTTAACCACCACATTCACTAGCTATGTCAAATTCAGACTTAGAACAGATTTTTTCCACACTCGTCCCCTCTTTTCTCTGAGTTTCCTATATATTTTTAAAGCTGTACCTGACTATTTGATCATCCTGACTCAAAATCTTGATAAAACTTTTGACTTCACCAAGATGTAGATACATTGTGTCACCAAGTCCTGTTGGTTTTAGCTTCGTTGATGTCTGTCAGACTATTTTCTCCATTTCCCCTGCCGCATTGCAAGTCTGGGTTCCCTTTCTCATTGTTTCCTTGCAGCATGTGCTGCTGCTCACTGAAGTCTTCTAACCTTTGGAGAGAGACGTAAGTGAGCTGTGCTGGAATGGACAACTGAGTAAGCATCTATCTGGCTTGTTTGTTGTTTCTGGCAGAAAAGAAACTGAGGATGTAATTCAGAAACACTTACTACATTAGTGCTAAAAGAGAATGATCAATTATTTCCTCTTGTTGCACCATCATATTAAATGTTTTCTTAATGTGTGTTCCTTTTCAGCATAATGGGAGTTTTGAGTAACAAGTGTGGCTTTCAACTCCAGTATCAAATGATTTTTTCAATATGGCTCTTGGCATTCAGTCCTCAGATGTGTGAACACCTGCGGCGCTATAATATCATTCCAGTTCTGTCTGATATCCTTCAAGAATCTGTCAAAGAGAAAGTGACAAGAATCATTCTTGCAGCATTCCGTGTAAGTGTTCTGTGCGTTTTTTCTTTGTTTTTTTACAGTGTATGCAAGGAATTTTTACCGTGGAGTATATTCGAGAGCTTTTTAGCAGGTGGGAAAAGTTGCCTGTTCTCTATGTAGTTGTAAAACTATGAAGTCTTGGTGAACATAGAGTAAAAAACCACTAATTTCTATTTATGGCATGGGGAGTGGAATTGGGGAGGTGGAAACCATTTAAGTGAATGAAATGTATGAGGTTCAGAATGCTTGTAAGGAAATGCAGTTTTATGATGTTCAGATAGAGGAACTCCCTTTTTGTTACAGTGTGTTCCAAGAGACTGGCTAGCTGTATAATTCTGAGGCAACTATAATGATGTTAAGTTACCAATTAGGATATGAAAATTTTAGTGATTGTCTAAGTCAACTTCTTCTGTTAAATAGGTGAGGGAGTTAAGGGTAAGACGGAAGCCGAGCTAAACTCTTAGTCCTTGGTCTTTTGGCTGTCAGGAAGTTGTAGCACAGAAATAAAGTACTGTTAACTGGTTACCCACAACCAGTGTGCAGTTGATCTGGGAACAGTGTGGGGGTAGGGGTCCCAATTCCCCACACAGGATGCAAAATCAGCAGTTAACTTGTGACTGTCTTAAACTTAAAAACTTAAGTTCTAGTATCGGTCTGTTGGCCTGAAGCCTTTCTGATAACATAAACAGTTGGTTCATACATATTTTGTATGTTACATGTATTATATGCCGTATTCTCACAACAAAGTAAGCTAGAGGAAAAAAATACTTTTTCAAATTGTCACAAATCTTCAACTAATTTTCCAATATATTTATTGAAAAAAAATCTGTGTATAAGTACAAATGAGCAGTTCAAACCTTTGTTCTTCAAGGGTGAACTATATTTATTACAATAATTGTCTATAGATCATTTTGTTGTTCATCTTAGGATTTAAATGGGATTCTGAGGGATGGCTTGGCTGACCTAGTGTCTTTTAATAATAGTGGGCAGTTCTCATATATCTCTCACTCTGGGCCACGTGTTGTCCTAAGGTTTTCCATTTGTTTACTTAATGGTCACCACAGCTGTGCAATGTGGCAGTTATTGTTAATAAATTAGTGTCATTAGTATTAGAATTGGTTTTCTCAGTTTACAAATGGGGATACTGAGGCAGAGAGGGCATTTTGCTGGCAGGTGGTAGATGTGCAAATCCAAGTTATTGGCTTCAGAATCTGCTTTTCACCATTCTTTGTTCTTTTGCTGTCTTTAAGTAAACAAAAACAAATCAAAAATGAAAAGTACAGACATATTGCAGAAATTTAAATAGACACTGTATTTGCCAAATTAGTTACTTTTCTTGCAGATTTTTCTATGTACATAGAGATAAGTATGTAAGTAGCTGTGTGATTTTGCTTCATATTTAGGAATAGAAGAGGCATCATATTATAAATACTGTCCTATAACTTTCTTATATATAGTGAGTATGTTTTCATTTTTTTATGTGTAGGTCTTCAGTATTCTTTACATCTGTGTTGATGTAAAGTGGTTTATTTAACTAGTATGTTATTGATGTCCATATGGGGTGTTTCCAGTGTCTTTCACATATGTTTGCCCACTTTGATGAATATTTCTGTTGGATATAGTTCTGAAGATGGAATGGCAGAGTCAAAGAATAAACTTTTTACACTTTTGATATATAAAGTAAGTCGCCTTTCAAAATGTGCAAATTTATATTCCCATCAACTGTATATTATCAGCGTGTTTTTCCATTCTTTCATTTGCATTTGATGTTATCTTTCTATTGTTACAAAAAGGTGAAAAATGAAGTCATGTTTTAAATTTGTATTCTGTTCATAATGACTGAAGCTGAGCATTGTTTAATATTTTTATCAATTGCTCATTCATACCATTTGTCACCTTTTAAATCTCAAAATTTGATGTGTAGGAACTCTTTTCTGGATGTTTGTAGTTAATTGTAATAATCGCAACTGATGATTACTGAGAGATTATTCTGTGTCAGGCACTATTCTGATTGCTTTAAATGTGTTAATGCATTTAATCACCCAGGAACACCATGCAATGGGCATTAGGCCACAAGAGATTAATTAATTTGCAAAATAGCTAGGAAGTGGCAGAGTTCAGATTCAGACAGGATGGCTCATGCTCTTAACCATCAAGCTAACCTGTCTTTGAGCCTGAGAATAATAACTGTTACAATTTAATGAGTGATTTTCATGCTTTGTCTTATTTAATCTTCATGATCATTTAGTGGGTTCTATTATTATTTTTATTTTGTAGATGAGGAAACCAAGACTTGGAGATTTCCTCAGTTAGTGAGCGATAGGATTGGAATGTCAGTGAGATCTGTCTGGCTGTAAAGCCATCTTCTTAACCCTCTGTCATCTCTTTTTCTTTCTGGGGTACATTTTCTTGGGAACGTTAGCAGTGGCATTAGAAGGAGGGAAAACAATACAAAGAGGAACCATAGGTCATGTGAGAGAGGAATTAATTCAGTTTCCTTTGCTGAAAATACTGGCTGCAGTCATTTAATCCTGTTTTTCCTAGCTGCCTAACAAGGGTTGAGTGAGTGGTTAAAGACAGTGAGAAGTGAAGTTCAGTGAAATTTCTGTTAGAAAGTGTGGAAAGTGAAATAAAAGTGTGAATCGCTAGATATGATAAATGCCAGTCAACTGTTGACCAAGTGTTGCTCTGTGTATTAGAATTGCTTTTGATTATCCTTACTTCTAAAAAGTAGTGTTCTTTTTCATGTAAAAATTGCTCTGTGGCCCTTGAGATGTTTACTCTTAAGAAACAGGTAAATGTGGAACCTCCCCTGCCTCACCATATTGGCTCTGCTGTTTGTTTTTCTAGCAAACTGTATACATGAGTTGTCAAGGTAAATTTCAGTCTAGTTCAGATAAATAATTAATTCTTAAATCAGTAGGTTGTATTAATAAGATTCTACTCTGAAGTATGTTAGTAGCTAAGTTGAATGTATTTTTTCTTTCTCTTCATTGTATCATTTTCCACATTCTTATTTATTTATAAAGATGAAAACTTATAGAAATAGGATCTTCTGAAAGTCTATAATAGAGCTAAATTTAATTCACAAACAAGTTTGAGTACCTTTAATATTCCAGGCATTATGCTTATCATTAGGGAACCCAAATGCTTATGATATAGCTTAACATTGAAAAGCTTTAGTTCACTGAAGATATACCGTATAAATAAATGTCTTTGCAGTGCAATGATAAGTGATGTGCAAGAGTAAGAGTAATATAAAGGAGGTAGAGGGTAAGAATAGGGGATTTTAGGAAAAGCTTCAGAGAGGAGAAGGGTTGAAGAGATTTTTAAGGATGCATAAGAATAGAAGTACAGAGGTGGAGAGGGGTTGGTAAATCTTAACAAGTGAAGAAAGAACCTCTGGAATTGTCAGTAATTTGTTCTTGTAGAAGGATTGATTATTGCCCTTCATCCCCACCCTGAAGTGAATGCTATGGGAATAAATGAGGCACTGAAGTCTGGCTCTTGAAGATATAGTTCTGGTATTTGTGGCCATTTGCTTTTGGAAGGCGCAGGCTTGATCTCTAAAATGGAGCCCTTGCTTTGTTAATCTTCTATTACCGTCGTGGGCACTGAGCTCGCGGGAACACCCCAAATCTTCAGCTGTCCTGTTACCGACTCACCCCAATTCCTCTTCATACTCAAGGTCACCACCCACCACAGCCCCGTGTCTTCAAATAAGACTTAATCAGATCTACTTTGACTACTTTATTATGCACTGTGCCTAGTCTCATGGGGCATGAGTAGCTGATATCTTCATCTGTGAATGGTGGTTAGTAGTACTTACTTCAAGGTTGGATAAGGATTCAGTGAGTTAAAGGCATAGTGCCTGGCACTAGTAAATCTACAACCTCCATTTATTTCCCTGCCTTTTCTGTCCTTGAAAGCATAGAATAATAGCAGTTTGTCTCTTTAAATCTCCTACCTCTGTAAATCACATTGTTGCTAAGTTAATGTGGAAACTAAGCAAAGACCTAATGCACTTCTATTTGATTTAGAAGATGCAGCATGATATTTTACTAATATTTAGCAAAATTTAAAAATCTTGTTTAAATTTGATTTATAGCTGTAATTTTTTTAACCCACTATTTATGGAACTTAACTATGATGATTTTTGGGTCCCTGTTGTCTAATTTGGATTTCAGATTATTTACATAGACCCAATCTACTGGCAGAAATACTAGTTTTTGGAATCTCTTGGGCTAAATTTGGGACAATACATTATGTGAATGAATATACTGAGGAGTGAAAATCAGAAGAACATCTTTAGATATCCAAACCAAGATTTCACTGATAAAGGTGTTTCAGGGTGGGCTAGTCATATATTTTTTGCCTACATTCTGATACTCAGGAAGGATATTTTTGTGGGAAAGACTTTAGGAAGCTTGCTTAGTCTGCTGTAAGCTGAGCACATCTAGCAGCTGCTAATTATTTTTTTCCCATTTGGCTGGATGAATTTTATTTTTGAAAATGTGGTTCTCACTTAGTCATAGCAGGTGCTGAACTCCAGGTTTCTGCAAATGTTATTCTATTGGTTAAACTGACTTGTCAATCTTTAGTTCCTGAAATAAATTAGAATGTTTTGAGGCTGTGACTGAGAAATACATTGAAGATCATATTTGTTGTCTACAGAGTTTTACATCTTTTGTGAGTTTTCTCTTTTTGGCTTTGCTTAGTCAAGGGCCTACATAACATGTCAGATAATAAGATAAAAACTGTATTTCTACAGATTTTCAGTAGAAAAGCTTAGAAAGAAATCCAAAGAATTTCTTTTTTCATTAGCTATATTAATTGTGATGTTTAATTCACACCCACACACATATATGCATGCAGACATGGACAAGCAGGCACATACATCTTCCTGTGCAGGCAGTTCAAAGAGACTTGCTTTAGTTTGAGTGTATGGGGACTCTTTTGCCCACTGCTTTGGTGTGGAAGTATTACTTCCAAAAATTTTATTC